TTTTATGTTCTACTCTGCACACTTGGCCCAGAGGCCCCAAGACCATAGGGGCCTCATGTTAATCTGTGTATGTCACGTGACTTGCTATAAACAAGGAAAAAAACATATTTGACTTTACAATTAATTCTGTGTGATAAACACAGCGCGTGGGAAATGCCACCTTGGTATCGTGTTTCCACGAAGGGGAAAATCCCAACTGCACCTGGTCGGGGTGGAGGACGGAAACACACACCCTCGTGTGGCTAACGCATTCTTGGGGACCGACTATCTGCCAGAATAAGCGGACCACCCTGTGGTGTTTTCTGCTGTTAGCAATAACATCGCAGAGAAGGGCACCCATCTACCCGGGCATTCTAGAAGATTGCTGAAGGTTGAGAAGCTTAGTCGTGTGTACGTGGAAAGCTAGGGAAGACTACCACATTATACATCTCTAAAAACTCAGCATGGAAGAAGCACATGGGGCCGGAGAGCTGGCTAGGGAAAGATATACTTTCAGACGTGCCGTGAAAAGAGCTGGCTAGGGAAAGAATTACTTTCAGGCGTGCCGTGAAGAGAGCTGGCTAGGGAAAGAATTACTTTCAGATGTGCCGTGAAGAGAGCTGGCTAGGGAAAGAATTACTTTCAGACGTGCCGTGAAGAGAGCGACTTTCTGTAAAGGACTAGCTGATTGATGATGAACAAACAACCAAAATTGTTTCTTCCTCTGTCTCTCTCATTATTATTATTATATATATATGGCATTACACAGAGCAGGAATATTTGGCATCAAGTGTGGACACGTTGCTTCCTTAGCGCGCTTTCTTGCTTCCAGAGGTTTGCCATTACATATAAATAAAATCAGATTAGTGGATCAGCCCAAAATTGCAACTGTTTATGTCAACCAGAGCCGCTGAGTGAATTTTTCTTATCAAACTTCTGGATAACGAAATCTGTCATAATTATCTGCGAAAATGTGTAAGGAATTTTTTGAATTAACTGGACTACAAGTTCTTTGTAATATCCTTGAAGAATTCAACGGTTCAAAGTATTGTTTAATAAGTGTAGATTTGACTGCAGACATATCACATTCAGGTCAGCAGACCGTTATTGTGCGATACATTCAAGGCCATCAACCTATAGAAGGTTTCTTGACGTTCATCTGTTCTCATGTAAGACAGACGCTGTTGTGGACTTTCTTAACGAGAACAATATTCCCCAATCAAACTGCTTTGTTCAGTTATAAGTTAATGCCTCAAATATGTCTGGGCTCGGACTTAGCTCAGTAAGGTTGTCATCTCTGTTGCCTGTGCTGCACACATCCTGAACTTGATGGGAATACAAGCAGCAGAAGATGTCTACAGTGTAAACATTTGTTATGTGTTTAGCATTTGTATTCGTTGTATGTTGGTTCTAACTCATCAGGGGAAGGCACTGACGTCTTTTATGCAAATGTGTGGTGAACCTCTCTAGGACACACGATAGTTAGCACAGTGATCGTATACATGCTCTGCTAATAACCGTCCCACATGTGGGACGGAGATGTTTTCGTCATTGTAAGGCCCCGCCCCGTCCTTAGTCGCGGGGTCCTAATATAACCAGACAGTTGAACGGGGTTTCAGGCACTTCTGCCCGATTGATTCTCATCTGAATGGTGGCAGTACAACACAAGACTGCTACAAACTGAACTGATGGTGCAATCTGACTAAGGGAAGACAGACTGCTATAAACTGAACTGATGGTGCAATCTGACTAAGGGAAGACAGACTGCTATAAACTGAACTGACAGTATAATTTGAGTGAACACACAAAAAAGATATTCAAACATGAGTATTTATTAACTGTAGAAGAAAAACCAAAATACAAAACTTTGAATTAGTTGCAGATGTATGAGGCATTGCCACTTGGATTTCTCTGGTAAACCAGTTTGCAGCCAGTTATACATACACAAATATACAGTGCAAGATGTAACACATACATACACAAATATACAGTGCAAGATGTAACACATACATACACAAATATACAGTGCAAGATGTAACACATACATACACAAATATACAGTGCAAGATGTAACACATACATACACAAATATACAGTGCAAGATGTAACACATACATACACGCAGACAGTGTGAACTCTCTCTCTCTCACTCTCTCACTCTCTCACTCTCTCTCACTCTCTCTCACTCTCTCTCACTCTCTCTCACTCTCTCTCACTCTCTCTCACTCTCTGGATCTCACTCTCTCTCACTCTCTCTCACTCTCTCCACTCTCTCACTCTCTCTCTCTCACTCTCTCTCTCACTCTCTCTCTCTCACTCTCTCTCACTCTCTCTCACTCTCTCTCACTCTCTCTCACTCTCTCTCACTCTCTCTCACTCTCTCTCACTCTAAATCTCAACTCTCTCCTCACTCTCTCTCACTCTCTCTCACTCTCTCTCCACTCTCTCTCACTCTCTCTCACTCTCTCTCACTCTCTCTCACTCTCTCTCACTCTCTCTCACTCTCTCTCACTCTCTCTCACTCTCTCTCACTCTCTCTCACTCTCTCTCACTCTCTCTCTCACTCTCTCTCACTCTCTCTCACTCTCTCACTCTCTCACTCTCTCACTCTCTCACTCTCTCACTCTCTCACACACACACACACACACACACACACACCCACCCACCCACCCACCCACCCCCCCCCCCCCACTTCATTGGTGACCAGCCATCACGTGGTCAATTCCTGTGTCCCTTGGAAGCATCAACTGTGTGACCTACAGATGGAACTTGTGTGGGGTGTAGCAGCTTTTGATCCCAGTCTGGCCAAAAGGTGGACTTCATTCTCTCACAGAAGAGTACAAGGTTGGGGAACTTTTCTGTGGATAATGTCCAAGAAAAAACGGGCATTAATCATTTCAGAACATGGAATTCTGGTCAGACTGTTTTCTGACAACTGTAGAGAGATTCTTCGCAACACTCAGAGATTTTCTGACTATGTAAACTCATGCCACTGTAAGAGATGTTATGATTATCTGACAACTGTAGAAGATCTGTGACTTTTGTCTGACAGAACTAGAGAGATCTGTGCATGCACATTCATTTCACAGAAGAGATCTGTGCAACACTTTTTTTAAGCAGACAACTGTTGAGTTCTGCTGCCAAACTCTCAGACAACTGTAGAGAGATCTGTGCAGATATCTGTGCAACAAGATTATCTGACAACTGTAATTGCATTGTGCAAACACTAGAGATTATCTGAACTGTTCAGAGAGATCTGAGCTCCTAATTCTGTAAGAAGATATGCACCTAGAGATTATCTGACAACTGTAGAGAGATCTGTGCAACACTAGAGATTATCTGACAACTGTAGAGAGATCTGTGCAACACTAGAGATTATCTGACAACTGTAGAGAGATCTGTGCAACACTAGAGATTATCTGACAACTGTAGAGAGATCTGTGCAACACTAGAGATTATCTGACAACTGTAGAGAGATCTGTGCAACACTAGAGATTATCTGACAACTGTAGAGAGATCTGTGCAACACTAGAGATTATCTGAAAACTGTAGAGAGATCTGTGCAACACTAGAGATTATCTGACAACTGTAGAGAGATCTATGCAACACTAGAGATTATCTGACAACTGTAGAGAGATCTGTGCAACACTAGAGACTATATGACAACTGTAGAGAGATCTGCGCAACACTAGAGATTATCTGACAACTGTAGAGATATCTTGTGCAACACTATAGATTATCTGACAACTGTAGAGAGATCTGTGCAACACGAGATTATCTGACAACTGTAGAGAGATCTGTGCAACACTAGAGATTATCTGACAACTGTAGAGAGATCTGTGCAACACTAGAGATTATCTGACAACTGTAGAGAGATCTGTGAAACACTAGAGACTATCTGACAACTGTAGAGAGATCTGTGCAACACTAGAGATTATCTGACAACTGTAAAGAGATCTGTGCAACACTAGTAGAGATTATCTGACAACTGTAGAGAGATCTGTGCAACACTAGAGATTATCTGACAACTGTAGAGAGATCTGTGCAACACTAGAGACTATCTGACAACTGTAGAGAGATCTGTGCAGCACTAAAAACTATCTGACGACTGTAGAGAGATCTGTGCAACACTAGAGATTATCTGACAACTGTAGAGAGATCTGTGCAACACTAGAGATTATCTGACAACTGTAGAGAGATCTGCGCAACACTAGAGACTATCTGACAACTGTAGAGAGATCTGTGCAACACTAGAGATTATCTGACAACTGTAGAGAGATCTGTGCAACACTAGAGATTATCTGACTAGAGACTATCTGACAACTGTAGAGAGATCTGTGCAACACTAGAGATTATCTGACAACTGTAGAGAGATCTGCGCAACACTAGAGATTATCTGACAACTGTAGAGAGATCTGTGCAACACTAGATATTATCTGACAACTGTAGAGAGATCTGTGCAACACTAGAGATTATCTGACAACTGTAGAGATATCTGTGAAACACTAGAGATTATCTGACAACTGTAAAGAGATCTGTTCAACATTAGAGATTATATGACAACTGTAGAGAGATCTGTGCAACACTAGAGATTATCTGACAACTGTAGAGAGATCTGTGCAACACTAGAGATTATCTGACAACTGTAGAGAGATCTGCGCAACACTAGAGATTATCTGACAACTGTAGAGAGATCTGTGCAACACTAGAGATTATCTGACAACTGTAGAGAGATCTGTGCTATGCTAGAGATTATCTGGCAACCGTCGAGTGATCTGTGCAGATACACAATAAAACAAATCTCTGAAGAGTTCTGTGATTCTGGTGGAAGATTTCAAAAGCTGAGTAGGGAAAAAAAAAACATTTCAGAACAGCTCACGAGATGAGAGTCTTTATGTGTACAAACAGCTGATTCTCATTGAGTTATTTTTATATCTGTGTGTAGACTTATAAACTTTCAGAATCACTGCTGGCAAGATGTCTCGCTGCTAATACTTTAATTGTCACCAGCCATCACTTGGTCAATTCCTGTGTCCCTTGGAAGCATCAACTGTGTGACCTACAGTTGGAACTTGTGTGGGGTGTAGCAGCTTCTGATCCCAGTCTGGCCAAAAGGACGACTTCATTCTCTCACAGAAGTGGACAAGGTTGGGGAACTTTTCTGTGGATGATGTCCAAGAAAAAAACGGGCATTAATAATTTCAGAACATGGAATTTTGGTCAAACTGTTTTCTTATTCTTCTTCGCATTCACCGACTATAAACTCATCCAGAATGTTATGATTGTCAATTTCTGGACTTTTGTTCCAGAACTTGGGTTTTGCATGCACATCCATTTTACAGAACTGGCTTTTTTTTTAAAGCAGACTGTTGGTTCCCAAACTCTCAGGCAGATATACCTCAACTTTGAATGAGTCAATTTCATTTTAAAATCTATCTGATGTGTTCATCAATCTATATACAGCAGAATAGAGCTCCTGCCTCCCTAACAAGGATGTTGTTAATGTCGACTATACAGAGGTGTTTCCTTCAAAGGACTGCATCTGTCCAAGAGGTGCAGAACCAACAGTCTGCTTACAAATAAGACACCTGTAAAATGGATGTGCATCATCAGAACTACCAATGTAGGCGCTACACATGACAAGATCTGATGTAAAGGAAAGAGGAAACAGAACAACCCAAGACAATATGGATTGATGAAAAATAGCTTCTACACTGACACAAGATGACAAAAGCCATTGCTGCCCATCTAGCAGTGGATCACAAACTGTTGCTTTCCACATGACAATGACAGAAGTGAATCACATTTATACACCCATACAATTAGTCATATCTATAGACAGATATGAATAGTACATAGCTTTACACAGATATGAACTAGACAGAATCAAAAAGATATGAAATAGCTTTACATGGATATGAACTAGACATAGAATCATAAAGATATGAAATAGCTTTACACAGATATGAATTAGACACAGCTTTAGACAACTAGATATAGTTTTATACAAATATGAACTAGACAGCTTTACACAGACATGAACTAGTTTTACACAGACAAACTAGACAGTTTTACATGAATATGAACTAGACATAGCTTTACACAGTTATGAACCAAACAGCTTTCTACATATATGAATTAGATACGAACTAGACATAGCTTTACACAGATATGAACTAGACAGAATCATAAAGATATGAAATAGCTTAATACGGATAAGAATTAGACATAGAATCTTAAAGATATGAAATAGCTTTACACAGATATGAACTAGACATAGAATCATAAAGATATGAAATAGCTTTACACAGATATGAACTAGACATAGAATCATAAAGATATGAAATAGCTTTACACAGATATGAACTAGACATAGAATCATAAAGATATGAAATAGCTTTACATGGATATGAATCAGATACAACTTTAGCCAACTAGATATAGTTTTTTACGAATATGCACTAGACAGCTTTACACAGACATAAACTAAATAGTTTTACACAGAAATAAACTAGACAAGTTTTACATGAATATGAACTAGACAGGTATTTACACAGATATGAACTAGACATAGAATCATAAAGATATAAAATAACTTTACACGGATATAAACTAGATATATAAGCTTTACATGGATATGAATTAGACACAGCTTTAGATGCAACTAGATATAGCTTTATACAAACATGAACTAGACAGCTTTACATAGACATGAACTAGATAGTTTTATACAGACATAAACTAGATAGTTTTATACAGACATAAACTAGACAATTTTACATGAATATGAACTAGACAGCTTTATACATAAATGAATTAAATATGAACTAGACAGCTTTTTACAGATATGAATTAGATATGAACTAAACTTTTTACAGATATGAACTAGGCATCTTTACACAAATATGAACTAGACATAGCTTACACAGATACGAACTAGACATAGCTTAGATATGAACCAGACACAAATTTAAGAAGATATAAACCAGACATAGTTGTAGACTAATAAGTAGAACTAACGTATGCCAGTTTCTCAAACTGCCCTGATGCAGTCGCGTACCAGCAATGATCCCTGCAACCGGGGTTCCCGGTGTTTGCCACAAGAGTTGACACAGTTGTCCAAACAGAGCGCAGTCAAACTCGCTGACATCCTCAACAACATCACCAAACAGGAAGTTTCTCTCTCCTGAAATCAAACAACCAGTTATTTTTGTCATGTCAGTTTTCATCTCATACAGTCATCTATCTCTGCCAGCTACTGTCATTGAGAATCTCTGCTCCCATGTCCTGATTGTGCAGTCTTTCATATCCTCCAACAGACAGCAGCACAGCTGAGCAGTCAAGTCATTCACATGAAGTATGAACTGCTACTCATAACCTTGACACCCACCTATCTCCTAGTGAAGTGGTTCCCAGTTAGCTAACAGCCACAGAGCCCTCTGACTTCCAAAGCTCTGTCATACATCCCATAATTTTTGTATAGTCTAAAGAACTTATTTATATTTGAATTGCATTTACAAGTTGATATTTTGTTTATAACTGACATCAAGGAGCTGTACCAGCAAGTAAAAACACTAACCTAGAGATCTTCTGCAGGCACGTGAGCACAAACAATTCTAGATCAGGACATTTTTAGTCTGTTTTCTTTATTTCCAGTTTTTACAAACACACACACGTAAGTACTTGGCCAGAAACTGTTGAACATGTATTTGTTGTACTTGGCCAGAAACTGTTAAACTTGTATTTGTTGTACTTGGCCAGAAACTGTTGAACATGTATTTGTTGTACTTGGCCAGAAACTGTTGAAGATATATTTGTTGAGCTTCCTTCAGGTGTGTTCTTTGTAAGAAGACAGTCACAGATGATAGTCAAGCATTTCGTTCGAGCCTGACGATGGAGGTAGCAGCTGCCACAGGGCACTTGCATGGCTGGTGCAGCAGAAAGCATCTCATGAATTGTTACTGACCTGACTCGAAGAATATTCAAAATAGCAAACTCGAACCAGAATGTGTTGACAGAATGGAAAGTGAAGCTTAAAGGAACTATCTGGGCTGTAGACACAAGAGCGAAAGGAAATGAAAAGTGCCGACTGGCCGGCCATGTCTGCAGTAGTTACTTTTGGAAGGACAGGGTAGACACTGTAAATGCACTGCCTTCCACAGATGCTGAAAAAAAGTCAACGGCAAGGAACCACTGGCTAGAAATGGGTACAAAACAAGGACAAACATGCAGAAAACCAGTTGCAGAGCAGATAAGATATGCCAGTCAATTCCTACTGGATAAGTTGAGAAAGTATTCCTGAAAGTGTGATCTTTACTGGGTAAGGCGAGCATGAAGACACAGTTGGCTGCTGCATCCGAGGAGGGTGCACAGATGGTTGGAATGTGCTAGGATGATATAGACAATAGGCAACAAATAGCTGGGTATCCTTGTCTCATGTTTGGATATCCTTGTCTCATGTTTGCTTTCTACCCCAACTTGACTGAATGAATTAATCTGAGATACAGATGATAATTTCATCAACAGTACACATTGATGTAACAGACTGAATACTGTCATGCAAGGAGGAGAGGGAGTGGAGAAAGGCAGAGGAGAATGAGGAAGAGGAATGATAGACACATAAGAAGGAGTTGATACGAAGGAGAACGATAATGGAAACAGAAGTGAAGTTAGCAAAAGCAGGTAATGAAGAAGATGAAAAAAGGTAAAGAAAATAATTCATAGATATTTGCTCACTAGAGAAGCCACTGCCAACAGAAGTGGCATTCTATGTTCTTAGAATGTAGAAAACTGCAGCAAATGTTCAATATTATGTGGGGCCTCTCCCCACAGGCAAAGTCCCCAGTCTTGTATTTCTGGTACGTCTGGCGGCAACAGCCTATTTGTTCATCACAAGCATAAATAAAACAAAACCAATAGTCTGGCAGGTGTGGGTGTAGATGTTTACCTAAGATTGTAGAGATGGTGCTCAGTAGTCTGGCAGGTGTGGGTGTAGATGTTTACCTAAGATTGTAGAGATGGTGCTCAATAGTCTGGCAGGTGTGGGTGTAGATGTTTACCTAAGATTGTAGAGATGGTGCTCAGTAGTCTGGCAGGTGTGGGTGTAGATGTTTACCTAAGATTGTAGAGATGGTGCTCAGTAGTCTGGCAGGTGTGGGTGTAGATGTTTACCTAAGATTGTAGAGATGGTGCTCAGTAGTCTGGCAGGTGTGGGTGTAGGTGTTTACCTAAGATTGTAGAGATGGTGCTCAGTAATCTGGCAGGTGTGGGTGTAGATGTTTACCTAAGATTGTAGAGATGGTGCTCAATAGTCTGGCAGGTGTGGGTGTAGATGTTTACCTAAGATTGTAGAGATGGTGCTCAGTAGTCTGGCAGGTGTGGGTGTAGGTGTTTACCTAAGATTGTAGAGATGGTGCTCAATAGTCTGGCAGGTGTGGGTGTAGATGTTTACCTAAGATTGTAGAGATGGTGCTCAATAGTCTGGCAGGTGTGGGTGTAGATGTTTACCTAAGATTGTAGAGATGGTGCTCAGTAGTCTGGCAGGTGTGGGTGTAGATGTTTACCTAAGATTGTAGAGATGGTGCTCAGTAGTCTGGCAGGTGTGGGTGTAGGTGTTTACCTAAGATTGTAGAGATGGTGCTCAGTAGTCTGGCAGGTGTGGGTGTAGATGTTTACCTAAGATTGTAGAGATGGTGCTCAATAGTCTGGCAGGTGTGGGTGTAGATGTTTACCTAAGATTGTAGAGATGGTGCTCAATAGTCTGGCAGGTGTGGGTGTAGGTGTTTACCTAAGATTGTAGAGATGGCACTCAGATCATCCTCCATGATTTTGATGACCTCTTGCTGTGAATATCGGCCAATCCCATGAGACCAGAGTCTTGACTTGGCTTCCCTGCGCATGTACCAGACCACAAATGCTGGAACACCAAGTTTCTTGTAGAGGTCACCGCTTGATTCAAAGACCAGACGCCACATAAGCAGAACCCTGCAGGGTACAAACAGAACACTGGACATGTGAGAACCCTTGATGGTACATTAGTAGTACTTGAATGTATGACATTTCAAACATACTGCACTCACATCATTTGTGTTTTAGTTCAGATTTGCTTGCAAATGTTAACTATGATATGTAAATAGAACTTGCGCTCCACCCAGCACTGTCTAGTTCTCTTGGCTGCTGGCTCAGTGACCCAGAGTTCAACTACTACAGGAATCACTGTCTAGTTCTCTTGGCTGCTGACTCAGTGACCCAGAGTTCAACTACTTCAGTGTGTCAGTGTTTAGCTTGGGTGGGTATCTTGAGTTGTCACTGTTACAGACTGTGTGTGACTGCTTCTGTGGTGTTTAACATTTCCAAAGACTGAAGAGCTACACCAAGCTAATTCTAAAACAGCACTTGCAGCACAAACTGATGTCTGAGCAACCTTTGACATATTTGGGAAGTAGTCACTATAGACCAGGTGAGCAAACTATGGTCTGAACTGGTGTCAGATTTGATCTTCCTAGTAAAACATGTGTTGTGGACAAATTCAAACATTAGGACACAGTGTCTGTTGGTAGAATTTGATTAAACAGAAAAAAGGCAAATATCAATGTTTTTTTTTCTGTTGCGACAAGTTTGTAGAATAAAAGAGTAAAAAAAAAGTAAAGATCCCTTTTCACGCCTTTTAGGCGTTTCTAGCATATTGGAAGAGCACCCACATTTTTACAGACCATCGGCAATAGGTGGATAATGTGGTCAGCATTACGCCGAATAAAAAGTTGGTATCCTATTTAAAAAAAAAGTGTTGCGAGGAAATCTGGTTGTTATGTTTAAGGTGGATTATTTTCTACTAGGCCAGCGGCCATATTTATGATTCTAAATTTGGCCCGTGGACTTGAAAAGATTGCCCAGCCCTTCTATTGATTAAATAGGGGTCAGATATGCCAAAACGTGTGGATTTTGTGGAACCAAGATCCATAGTTTGTGGCTGGAAGAAACCTAGTTCACTACCAAATAAAGCTTATGTGGCTGCTGTTCAATCTCTCTAATGGTCACCTGTGACACTTGTATGTTGCGCAGCCAGCCAACATGCAAACACATTCATTTCTACATATGAACAAATTCTTCACGTTATTGTCCATACTGTGTGGAGTTTAAATCATATATGTCCCTCTGTGTACATCCCTGGGTGGTCGCCAAGTACCCAAGATGATCTCAGCCCAATCCCTAGGGTCATTACAGCCCAATCCCCAGGGTGATCACAGCCCAATCCCCAGGGTGATCACAGCCCAATCCCCAGGGTGATCACAGCCCAATCCCCAGGGTGATCACAGTCCAATCCCCAGGGTGATCACAGCCCAATCCCCAGGGTGATCACAGCCCAATCCCCAGGGTGATCACAGCCCAATCCCCAGGGTGATCACAGCCCAATCCCCAGGGTGATCACAGCCCAATCCACAGAGTGATCCCTTGAGATCACCTGGTGACTTCTGGGAGCCTGTGAAACCAACAGCCATGTCCTCTAGCCCCAGCAAGGTCTGATCTCAGAGATTACTGTTTGGCATCTTTCCATCTGTGCAGATGACGTGTTGTATTGTGTTATGTTGAAGCACAGGAATCACAGACAACACTGCTGAGAAGATAGAATCACAGTCAACACTCATGGGAAGATAGAATCACAGTCAACACTCATGGGAAGATAGAATCACAGTCAACACTCATGGGAAGATAGAATCACAGACAACACTCGTGACAAGATGGAATCACACACAACACTTAAGCGAAAATCACAAACACTGTTGAGAAGATGGGAGTCACAGACAACACTGTTGAGAAGATGGAGTCACAGACAACACTGTTGAGAAGATGGAGTCACAGACAACACTGTTGAGAAGATGGAGTCACAGACAACACTGTTGAGAAGATGGAGTCACAGACAACACTGTTGAGAAGATGGAGTCACAGACAACACTGTTGAGAAGATGGAGTCACAGACAACACTGTTGAGAAGATGGAGTCACAGACAACACTGTTGAGAAGATGGAGTCACAGACAACACTGTTGAGAAGATGGAGTCACAGACAACACTTGAGAAGATGGGAGTCACAAACACTTGAGAAGATGGGAGTCACAAACTACACTTGAGAAGATGGGAGTCACAGACAACACTGTTGAGAAGATGGAGTCACAGACAACACTATTGAGAAGATGGAGTCACAGACAACACTGTTGAGAAGATGGAGTCACAGACAACACTTGAGAAGATGGGAGTCACAAACAACACTTGAGAAGATGGGAGTCACAGACAACACTTGAGAAGATGGAGTCGCAGACAACACTTGAGAAGATGGAGTCGCAGACAACACTTGAGAAGATGGAGTCACAAACAACACTTGAGAAGATGGAGTCACAGACAACACTGCTGAGAAGATGGAGTCACAGACAACACTGCTGAGAAGATGGAGTCACAGACAACACTGTTGAGAAGATGGAGTCACAGACAACACTGTTGAGAAGATGGAGTCACAGACAACACTGTTGAGAAGATGGAGTCACAGACAACACTGTTGAGAAGATGGGAGTCACAAACAACACTTGAGAAGATGGGAGTCACAAACAACACTTGAGAAGATGGGAGTCACAAACAACACTTGAGAAGATGGAGTCACAGACAACACTGTTGAGAAGATGGAGTCACAGACAACACTGTTGAGAAGATGGAGTCACAGACAACACTTGAGAAGATGGGAGTCACACAAACAACACTTGAGAAGATGGGAGTCACAGACAACACTTGAGAAGATGGAGTTGAGACAACACTTGAGAAGATGGAGTCGCAGACAACACTTGAGAAGATGGAGTCGCAGACAACACTTGAGAAGATGGAGTCACAGACAACACTTGAAAAGATGGAGTCACAGACAACACTTGAAAAGATGGAGTCACAGACAACACTTGAGAAGATGGAATCACAGACAACACTTGAGAAGATGGAATCACAGACAACACTTGAGAAGATGGAATCACAGACAACACTTGAGAAGATGGAATCACAGACAACACTTGAGAAGATGGAATCACAGACAACACTGTTGAGAAGATAGGCCCAGTGTAATATAAATATCAGACAATTTTCTAGGAAATAAAGGTGGTCAGTGTGATGTTGAGCACATCACTGGTTACTAATTGATCTAAAATATGTGAACAGCACCATATAGTTAGTGGTGGTGGTGAAGAACGCGTTGATGGTGAAGAACGCGTTGATGGTGAAGAACGCGTTGATGGTGAAGAACGCGTTGATGGTGAAGAACGCGTTGATGGTGAAGAACGCGTTGATGGTGAAGAACGCGTTGATGGTGATGAAACTGTTGATGGTGATGAAACTGTTGATGGTGATGAAACTGTTGATGGTGATGAAACTGTTGATGGTGATGAAACTGTTGATGGTGATCAATGTGTTGATGGTGATCAAAGTGTTGACGGTGATCAAAGTGTTGACGGTGATCAAAGTGCTGACGGTGATCAAAGTGCTGACGGTGATCAAAGTGCTGACGGTGATCAAAGTGCTGACGGTGATCAAAGTGCTGACGGTGATCAAAGTGCTGACGGTGATCAAAGTGCTGACGGTGATCAAAGTGCTGACGGTGATCAAAGTGCTGACGGTGATCAAAGTGCTGACGGTGATCAAAGTGCTGACGGTGATCAAAGTGCTGACGGTGATGTCTGTGCTGACGGTGATGTCTGTGCTGACGGTGATGTCTGTGCTGGCGGTGATGTCTGTGCTGGCGGTGATGTCTGTGCTGGCGGTGATGTCTGTGCTGGCGGTGATGTCTGTGCTGGCGGTGATGTCTGTGCTGGCGGTGATGTCTGTGCTGGCGGTGATGTCTGTGCTGGCGGTGATGTCTGTGCTGGCGGTGATGTCTGTGCTGGCGGGGATGTCTGTGCTGGCGGGGATGTCTGTGCTGACGGGGATGTCTGTGCTGACGGGGATGTCTGTGCTGACGGGGATGTCTGTGCTGACGGGGATGTCTGTGCTGACGGGGATGTCTGTGCTGACGGGGATGTCTGTGCTGACGGGGATGTCTGTGCTGACGGGGATGTCTGTGCTGACGGGGATGTCTGTGCTGACGGGGATGTCTGTGCTGACGGGGATGTCTGTGCTGACGGGGATGTCTGTGCTGACGGGGATGTCTGTGCTGACGGGGATGTCTGTGCTGACGGGGATGTCTGTGCTGACGGGGATGTCTGTGCTGACGGGGATGTCTGTGCTGACGGGATGTCAGTGCTGACGGGATGTCAGTGCTGACGGGGATGTCAGTGCTGACGGGGATGTCAGTGCTGACGGGGATGTCAGTGCTGACGGGGATGTCAGTGCTGACGGGGATGTCTGTGCTGACGGGGATGTCTGTGCTGACGGGGATGTCTGTGCTGACGGGGATGTCTGTGCTGACGGGGATGTCTGTGCTGACGGGGATGTCAGTGCTGACGGGGATGTCAGTGCTGACGGGGATGTCAGTGCTGACGGGGATGTCAGTGCTGACGGGGATGTCAGTGCTGACGGGGATGTCTGTGCTGACGGGGATGTCTGTGCTGACGGGGATGTCTGTGCTGACAGGGATGTCAGTGCTGACGGGGATGTCAGTGCTGACGGGGATGTCAGTGCTGACGGGGATGTCAGTGCTGACGGGGATGTCTGTGCTGACGGGGATGTCTGTGCTGATGGTGATGAAACTGTAATGGTGATGAAACTGTAATGGTGATGAAACTGTGATGTTGATGAAACTGGTGATGGTGATGAGACTGGTGATGGTGATGAGACTGTTGATGGTGATGAGACTGGTGATGGTGATGAGACTGGTGATGGTGATGAGATTGTTGATGGTGACGAGATTGTTGATGGTTATGAGACTGTTGATGGTGATGAAACTGTTGATGGTGATGAATGTGTTGATGGTGATGAGACTGTTGATGGTGATGAAACTGTTGATGGTGATGAAACGGTTGATGGTGATAAAATGGTTGATGGTGATGAAACTGGTGATGGTGATGAAACTGGTGATGGTGATGAAACTGGTGATGGTGATGAGACTGGTGATGGTGATGAGACTGTTGATGGTGATGAAACTGTTGATGGTGATGAGACTGTTGATGGTGATGAGACTGTTGATGGTGATGAGACTGTTGATGGTGATGAGACTGTTGATGGTGATGCAACCATTGATGGTGATGAATGTGGTGATGATGATGATGATGATAGTTGGATAATCATTGTTGTCTAATTGTTCGGTAATAATGATGTTGATAGTAATGATAAAGGTGGTGGTAGCGATAAAAGTGGTCTTTATCTTCACAGCACTCTGTGCATGTCAACAGATGCTCAGTTTCTCGTTTCAACAAATAAATCAGTATCCTGGCTATAATACTGCCAGTCCTTATTTATGCTGATTAACAACATTCTGGAATATCGGGTGTGCCTCTCATTGCTTGGCTATGCTGATCTGTACTCCCAGTTCTCCCATTCTTAGTAGTAATGTGGACAGGCTGCTGCCAAAATCCTCTTATCCTGTTATAACTATCGTCAAAGTAACTACTATCATGATAATAATTTTTACGTGAGACACACACACACACACGTACATACACACACGTACACACCAGTAGAGCGATTCCTCAGATACTCTCCTAATCAGGTGACCTTTGGCAATCTCGTCTGGAGTGAGGTGATTGTTTAAGTTCACCTGGCGCTGGGTGTTCAGAAACTCGATACACAGTTGGGAATCTGGGACAGCCTGGTTGTTGTACTGTATCCACGGCAGCTTCTGTTTGGGGCCAGGTCTGCGGCTGTAGGCATCCTAGGGACATAAACCAATGACATGATTTATGATTGGAGGATTTACCTGTACAGGTTGTAGGCCGTTGTTTAATAGCTGAAAGCTGTACAAGATATAGCAAGGGAATAATGTGTTGATGAAAGCTGTACATGATGTAGCAAGTTGAGGTGGTGATGAAAACTACCCGATGTAGCAAGTTAAAGAGTTGATGATGAAAGCTGTACATGGTGTAGCAGGTTAAAGTGTTGATGATGAAAGCTGTACACAGTGTCGCAAGGTAAAGCGTTGATGATGAAAGCTGTAAACGGTGCAGCAAGTTAAAGTGTTTATAATAAAAGCTGTACACGGCGTAGCAACTAAAGTGTTGATGATGAAAGCTGTACACAGTGTAGCAAATTAATAGGCAAACTGGGCACAATGCAGACAGTTATCTAAAAGTTGATGATGCTGTACACAGTGTAGCACGTTTTGTAATAGTTTAAAGCTGTACAGTGTAGCAAGTTAGCTAATAGTTGAAAGCTGTTCACAATGTATAAAGTTATCTAAATGTTGACAGTTATACACAGTGTAGGAAGTTACCGAATAGTTGAAAGCTGTGCACAATGTATAAAGTTATCTAAATGTTGACAGCGGTACACAGTGTAGGAAGTTACCTAATAGTTGATGAAAGCTGTGCACAATGTATAAAGTTATCTAAAAGTTGATGAAAGCTGTTTATGCCATGAGGAAAGTATGCTGGTACTTACAACATATGGGATCTTTGCTGCTCTGAGGTAGGTGGCTAACTTGATGACGAATGGTGAGATACTGGGAACTGTCAGAGCCTTGCCGTACTGGTGGAGAACCACTGTGTCCTTGGCGGTGTTGGGTGTCAGGAAGCTGACAACAGAACAGTGCAACCAATAGAAGGTCTGACACATTGGGAAGCATGGCAACGAAATTTTAAAGTTACGTGTATAATCACACATTTAGTTTAGTTAAAATGCAAACACACACATACAGACATCAGGTCAACAAGTGTTATTTACTGTAGATGACTTTAAAAAAAAATCCCTACCCACAGTGCCTGCAGACTATCTGGTAACCTGACAGGGTGTGGCTGGATTCACTGTGCTTTAGGGTTATATAGGGTTTCTTTAATATGCTCTTGTTGAATTCTTATCGGAATAGTGGCTCTTTGAGCAACTAGGTGTTCACCTTTCAGGCTGCAATACTTGAGGGGAAAACTGGATGTTCACCTTTTAGGCTGCAATACTTGAGGGGAAAACTGGATGTTCACCTTTTAGACTGCAATACTTGAGGGGAAAACTGGATGTTCACCTTTTAGGCTGCAATACTTGAGGGGAAAACTGGATGTTCATGTTCATCTTTTAGGCTGTAATACTTGAGGGGAAAACTTTTGGTTAAAATACACAACTCACTCTGCTGTAACAGACAACATTAATGACAGGTTGTCTACACAAGACTCAGTTCTAACAATGACAGGTTGTCTACATCGACTCAGGTCTAACATTAATGACAGGTTGTCTACACCGACTCAGGTCTAACATTAATGACAGGTTGTCTACACCGACTCAGGTCTAACATTATTGACAGGTTGTCTACACCGACTCAGGTCTAACATTAATGACAGGTTGTCTACACAAGACTCAGTTCTAACAATGACAGGTTGTCTACACCGACTCAGGTCTAACATTAATGACAGGTTGTCTACACCGACTCAGGTCTAACATTATTGACAGGTTGTCTACACCGACTCAGGTCTAACATTAATGACAGGTTGTCTACACAGACTCAGGTCTAACATTAATGACAGGTTGTCTACACAAGACTCGGTTCTAACAATGACAGGTTGTCTACATCGACTCAGGTCTAACATCAATGACAGGTTGTCTACACCGACTCAGGTCTAACATTAATGACAGGTTGTCTACACAGACTCAGGTCTAACATTAATGACAGGTTGTCTACACCGACTCAGGTCTAACATTAATGACAGGTTGTCTACACCGACTCAGGTCTAACATTAATGACAGGTTGTCTACACAGACTCAGGTCTAACATTAATGACAGGTTGTCTACACCGACTCAGGTCTAACATTAATGACAGGTTGTCTACACAGACTCAGGTCTAACATTAATGACAGGTTGTCTACACAGACTCAGGTCTAACATTAATGACAGGTTGTCTACACCGACTCAGGTCTAACATTAATGACAGGTTGTCTACACAGACTCAGGTCTAACATTAATGACAGGTTGTCTACACTGACTCAGGTCTAACATTAATAATAGGTTGTCTACACAAGACTCGGTTCTAACAATGACAGATTGTCTACACAAGACTCAGGTCTAACATTATTGACAGGTTGTCTACACAGACTCAATTCTAACATAATTGACAGCTTGTCTACACAGACTCAATTCTAACATAATTGACAGCTTGTCTACACAGACTCAATTCTAACATAATTGACAGCTTGTCTACACAGACTCAATACTAACATAATTGACAGGTTGTCTACACAGACTCAATTCTAACATAATTGACAGGTTGTCTACACAGACTCAATTCTAACATAATTGACAGGTTGTCTACACAGACTCAGTTCTAACATAATTGACAGCTTGTCTACACAGACTCAATTCTAACATAATTGACAGCTTGTCTACACAGACTCAATTCTAACATAATTGACAGCTTGTCTACACAGACTCAATTCTAACATAATTGACAGGTTGTCTACACAGACTCAGTTCTAACATAATTGACAGCTTGTCTACACAGACTCAATTCTAACATTAATGACAGGTTGTCTACAGAGACTCAATTCTAACATAATTGACAGGTTGTCTACACAGACTCAATTCTAACATAATTGACAGGTTGTCTACACAGACTCAATTCTAACATAATTGACAGGTTGTCTACACAGACTCAATTCTAACATAATTGACAGGTTGTCTACACAGACTCAATTCTAACATAATTGACAGGTTGTCTACACAGACTCAATTCTAACATAATTGACAGCTTGTCTACACAGACTCAATTCTAACATAATTGACAGGTTGTCTACACAGACTCAGTTCTAACATAATTGACAGCTTGTCTACACAGACTCAATTCTAACATTAATGACAGGTTGTCTACAGAGACTCAATTCTAACATAATTGACAGGTTGTCTACACAGACTCAATTCTAACATAATTGACAGGTTGTCTACACAGACTCAATTCTAACATAATTGACAGGTTGTCTACACAGACTCAATTCTAACATAATTGACAGGTTGTCTACACAGACTCAATTCTAACATAATTGACAGGTTGTCTACACAGACTCAATTCTAACATAATTGACAGGTTGTCTACACAGACTCAATTCTAACATAATTGACAGCTTGTCTACACCGACTCAGGTCTAACATTAATGACAGGTTGTCTACACAGACTCAGGTCTAACATTAATGACAGGTTGTCTACACCGACTCAGGTCTAACATTATTGACAGGTTGTCTACACAGACTCAGGTCTAACATTATTGACAGGTTGTCTACACAGACTCAATTCTAACATGAGCAGCCTAAACTGGATGCTAGAAATGTCACGTGCAGATTTATTTTAAGACATATCAGTGAGTCCCTTCCATACACCACGTTATCAATCACTGGGTCTCTTCCATACACCACGTTATCAATCACTGGGTCTCTTCCACACACCAGATCAAAAATCACTGGGTCTCTTCCACACACCAGATCATAAATCACTGGGTCTCTTCCACACACCAGATCATAAATCACTGGGTCTCTTCCACACACCAGATCATCAATCACTGGGTCTCTTCCACACACCAAATCATCAATCACTGGGTCTCTTCCACACACCAGATCATCAATCACTGGGTCTCTTCCACACACCAAATCATCAATCACTGGGTCTCTTCCACACACACCTCGTCATCAATCACTGGGTCTCTTCCACACACACTTCGTCATCAATCACTGGGTCTCTTCCACACACCTCGTCGTCAATCACTGGGTCTCTTCCGCACACCATGTCATCAATCACTGGTTTCTTTCACACACCAGTTCATCAATCACTGGGTCTCTTTCACACACCAGATCATCAATCACTGGATCTCTTCCACACACCAGATCATCAATCACTGGATCTCTTCCATACACCAGATCATCAATCACTGGATCTCTTCCACACACCAGATCATGAATCACTGGATCTCTTCCACACACCAGATCATCAATCACTAGGTCCCTTCCAAACACCACGTTATCAATCACTGGGTCTCTTCCACACACCAGATCATAAATCACTGGGTCTCTTCCACACACCAGATCATAAATCACTGGGTCTCTTCCACACACCAGATCATCAATCACTGGGTCTCTTCCACACACCAAATCATCAATCACTGGGTCTCTTCCACACACCAGATCATCAATCACTGGGTCTCTTCCACACACCAAATCATCAATCACTGGGTCTCTTCCACACACACCTCGTCATCAATCACTGGGTCTCTTCCACACACACTTCGTCATCAATCACTGGGTCTCTTCCACACACCTCGTCGTCAATCACTGGGTCTCTTCCGCACACCATGTCATCAATCACTGGTTTCTTTCACACACCAGTTCATCAATCACTGGGTCTCTTTCACACACCAGATCATCAATCACTGGATCTCTTCCACACACCAGATCATCAATCACTGGATCTCTTCCATACACCAGATCATCAATCACTGGATCTCTTCCACACACCAGATCATGAATCACTGGATCTCTTCCACACACCAGATCATCAATCACTGGAGCTCTTCCACACACCAGATCATCAATCACTGGATCTCTTCCAGACACCAGATCATCAATCACTGGAGCTCTTCCACACACCAGATCATCAATCACTGGATCTCTTCCACACACCAGATCATCAATCACTGGAGCTCTTCCACACACCAGATCATCAATCACTGGATCTCTTCCATACACCAGATCATCAATCACTGGATCTCTTCCACACACCAGATCATGAATCACTGGATCTCTTCCACACACCAGATCATCAATCACTGGAGCTCTTCCACACACCAGATCATCAATCACTGGATCTCTTCCGCACACCAGATCATCAATCACTGGATCTCTTCCAGACACCAGATCATCAATCACTGGACCTCTTCCACACACCAGATCATAAATCACTGGGTCTCTTCCACACACCAGATCATCAATCACTGGGTCTCTTCCACACACCAGGTCCTCAATCACTGGGTCTCTTCCACACACCAGGTCCTCAATCACTGGGTGTCTTCCACACACCAGGTCCTCAATCAATGGGTCTCTTCCAAACATCAGGTCATCAATCCCTGGGTCTCTTTCACACACCAGGCCGTCAATCAATGGGTTCCCTAAACACACCATGTCGTCAATAAATGGGTCTCTTCCACACATCAGGTCGCCAATCACTGGGTCTCTTTCACACACCAGGCCGTCAATCAATCGGTTCCCTAAACACACCATGTCATCAATCAATGGGTTTCTTCCACACACCAGGTCTTCAATTACTGGGTCTCTTCCACACACCAGGTCTTCAACGATGACTTTTTAATATCCTATCCCACGCAGGAGAAATCCACAGGTCACGGGACAGTCTACTATTTTAAGGGGTGGTAGATAGAATGCATGCAGTCGTGGTACCTAGACTGCACTCATGTGCGATTCAGGTGGATTGGGGTTGGGCCAGTTCTAGATGTTTTGGGGTCGTTAAGTTAAAAGCGTCAGAAAGCTGGGAAACCCAGTCTTACCACCCACTAAAATGTTGAACTGTCAAGTGACGTCATCTGGGGGTAAGA